CAGTAAATAAAACCTCAAGGGTACAGGCAGTTATTTCATCCTCAAAAATTAGATCACTTCCTTCCCCAAACTACTCTAAGGTTGGCGGTTTGATTGTTTTCTCCAGTGTTCAGTTCCTGCCTGCTCCATTTTACAATTTCATTCACTACCATAGAAAAGGTTGCGGTAAGGGAGATTTTTTTTCCCCCCTGAAATAAATGAATATTATTTATTCAGCAAGGATACATTAAATTGAAAAAAACTGACAGTAAAGACAAGTACAATCTTACAAAAGATTTCTGTTTCTAATAAAGGCTGTTCTTTTGAACTTTCCATTCATTAAAGAATTCTGAAAAAAAAATAAAAATTATCATAAAAATATTAGGCAGCACAACTGTTTTCAAAATTGATAATAAGAAATGTTTCTTGAGAATCAAATCAGCATATTAGAATGAATTTTGAAGGATCATGTGACACTGAATACTGGAGAAATGGCTGCTGAAAAGTAGTATACAGTATAAAAATTAATTTAGAGCAGCAAGTCATTTATTTTGTTTTTATTTATTTATTTATTTATTTTGCCATTATTGTGAATAATCCCAAAGAATGTTGAATTCAAATGACAGGATGAGAAATTCAACACAGGTAATGCATTCTGGGAAATTAAGTGGTAAATTAAATGTATTAATAACAATGTAAGGACTTTGAACCTTCAAACTTTAAGGCTTTTTAAAATTATTTTCCAAACTTTTAAACAGCTTTATAAAGTTAACATTTAAAGTTGGTCTTGCTATTCAAGTTAAAATTTGCAATTATAAATTTTAATTTAGTTTAATTAAACTTCCTTGCATTCAAATATAAATTAAAATTATTCATTCTGTTTGCTACCTCAATTTAAATTCAGGAATTGGAATAATTCAAATGATTCAATTTGGAATTTAAACTCAATTCTGAATGGCACACAACCATTCAAAGAATCTAAGATTTTGACATCCCTAGTAAAACGTGTGATTTTCTGGTGCTCATCTAAGTTCAAAAACAAAGAAATCTGCCGTCAAAAAGACTCTCATCAGCACAAAAAGTTCAAGTGTGAATACAGCCTTTTCTCTTCCCAAGATCCCTAGGGATTATGATACTCCACAGAGAGAAAAGTGTCATCGCAATCTCATTAACTCATGCTTTAAGTCCAGGAATGCATGAAATCATGATGTCAAACTTCCACTGTGGATTTAACAGCACACCAAATTTGACTACTTATTAATATCTACATTGAGTCTAGCCTGGGGCCATCCACATGTCAGTGGAACCAAGCCAAAACCAAGAACCGAGAAAGAGAGATAGCGAAAGGAAGTGAGAGAGACTTTGGAGAAGAGGAGGAGCCATGAGTGAGTGGGCCCAGATGGACATCTGCTGCGCTCTTGCAGGCTGAACTAATCCCTTCGGTTAGCGGTGCTCACAGGGTTAAAGCCGCTCTGATGGCAGATGTCCTCTGTCGCTTGCCTTTTTGCCCTCTACCAATGCATCCACCAGTCATCACCAATGAGGCCCATTACTTAGACTAAGGCACATGCACATACGTACACTACTAAATCTACAGGGTATTACAATTAAATCTGTAGGGTAGCATGAAAGCTAGGTCAAGACCAGAGGTTGCAGTAGCACGTTTCGGAAAACACACATCATGCTGCCTACTGTTTAAGTCTAAGCTTTACAAAAAGGAAGAAAACCAAACATATATTTATACATTACACACACAACTTTTTTAGTTTTTAAAAGAAGTTTCTTGCTCACCAAGGCAGCAGATCTAAAATGCAATAAAAACAGTAATGTTGTGAAGTATTAAAATAACTGTTTTCTATTTGAATATATTTTAAAATATAATTTATTCATGTGATGGCAAAGCTGTATTTTCAGCAGCCATTACTTCAGTCTTCAGTGTCATATTCATATGCTGATTTGGTGCTCAATAATATTGTTTGTGTAATATTTTATATTTTGATGTTTTGAAGTTCAAAAGAACAACATTTATTTGAAATAGAAAATTTTTGGTAAATGTCTCCACACTCACATTTCAATGAATTGAATGCATCCTTGCTAATTAAAAGTACTAATTTCTTTCAAAATAATAATAAAAAATCTTACTGACTTGAATGAACGGTAGAGTTCATGTACTGTATATATGCTGTTCGCTGCTGGTGGAATGACCTGCCCAACTCGATCCGAGCAGCTGAGTCTTAAGCCATCTTCAAGAAATGGCTAAAGACACATCCATCTACACTTGAACCTCTAACACTTGCACTATCTATTCTATTTCTATTTCTATTCTATCTACTTATTTTATTTTGAATTATTATAAAAAATATTATAACTTGACCCTCTAACACTATCTCTATTTATTTTCTATCTATTGTTTATTATTTTTATTTATAAAAAAAAAAAAAAAAAAACTTGTTACGTGTACTATGTTAGACTAACCGGGACTTATCACAGCACTTATATATTGTTGCTCTTTTGTTGGTTTGATTGCTTCTATTGTCCTCATTTGTAAGTCACTTTGGATAAAAGCGTCTGCTAAATGATTAATTTATTACATTTGTGTTTGTTTGTGTATGTGTGTTTTTTTGATTTATGAGGACACAAATTTGTATAATGACATGGGTATGACATTACAACGAGAAGGTGATTTATGAGGACATTTTGAGTGTCCCCATATTTCAAAAGGCTTATGAATCATTCAGAATTAGTTTTTTTTTTTTTTAAATCTAAAAATGCAGAAAGTTTCCTGTAAGGGGTAGGTTTAGGTGTAGGGTTGGTGTTGGGCGATAGAAAATACGGTTTGTACAGAATAAAAACCATTACGCCTATGGAATGTCCCCACAATTCATAAAAACAAACCTGTGTGTGTGCGTGTGTGTGTGTTTGTGTGTATATATAGATATGATAATACTTGAAATATCAAAAAATATTAAAATAAACAGGAAACAGAATAGCATTTTGCATGTTTAACATTTCACATTCAATGTTACTTAATCAATATTGAATTTTAAATATATATTTCAATTAATTTTATTTTAATTTATATTTCAATTAATTTTATTTCATTTTTGTTTATCATTTATTTATTATTATTATTATTTTTTTTATCAAAAGATGTCCACAATCATTAATAGACACACACATACTTTTTTATGCCTTTCAAGGGATTCCAGGTGGCTGCGGTTTCCTAGGTCAAAAGTATGAGTAAACTGACCAGCCGACTCAACACAAGACCCAAACAGCCAGTGCTAGCTAGCATTGGAGAGGTAAAGTAATGGACGAGGGATGATCCCACACAGTTGTTAAATGCTTGTTAAGATTAATAAACACCCTCCAATAAAGCATCTCCCCAGACACACTGCTTCCTGAATAGGGTCAGACATTATACATGCTTCTCTAAAGACCCTATGGCGCGCTTACGCTTAAGCAAGCATATGACTGAGGGGAACGAGAGAGAGAGAGAGAAGGTGATAAAGGATGCAGCGCTGAAGGCAACAATGCAGAGAGAAAGCGAGAGAGAGATGAAGGTTGGAGAAAGCAAAAGACTAATGAAACTGAAACATCAGGGGTATTTGTTTCAAGGGAGAAGAAAATTAATAAGCATGAAAAATAATAATCCTCAACACTGGGCCACATGGAATGATTAAAGCAAAACAGCAAACCAATTATTACAGGGTGAGCAATGCAGTGAAGTCTTGACAAAGAAGTAAACAACCGAACTAACTGGCACGCGAGCACACACACCTCTGCTGCCGACTGCATCTGTTTTACACCAGTGCAGCATCTTGCCATCCACTCACACTGACTAACAAGTGCTGATGACTCAAATCACAACCCATTTAGATCTAGTTAACAGTTCTACTGTAATTCAGTGCGTCATTCGCGAGCAGAGAGTGATGCTCTTTAAAAAAGGAAATGCATTGGGTTTAAAAAAGCAGTAGACACGATGTGACATTAATATGCTTTGTCTTCATGTTTTTTCTAATAAAAATGTTCAGGGTATTTTGCCTAAGCTAGTTTTCTTGTCTCATCAGGCCTTAGCAGGTTACAGAGGTGTTTTGGGCACTGGGAAACCAGCTAGCCACTCGATAAAACCAGCTAGAAACCAGCTAAACACCAGCCTGGCCAGGACAGGACTACATTTAATTAACCAAAACCATCTTAGGATTTTAGCAGGGTTGTGGAAAACCTTTTTTTTTTTTTATTATTTGCTAGATCATTTTTTTGCTAGCTAAATTTATTAAAAGTCACAATTTACCTTTGCTCTGTGAAATTTCACAGGTGAAATCAAGTCATTTCAATAAGAATTCAGTTTGTGAAAAAGCTAAACAGGCAAGTTGGTCATGCAAATGAACTGCGTTCACCAACATAAACCTGCTTGGTTTGGAAGTTACTTAGGGTGACCATACATCCTCATTTTTCCAGACATGTCCTGGCCGGAACTTCTAAATTGCCTAAAATGTCCGGATTTTGGCTTGGTTTTCCTATTGCCATGCTCTCTACAGTCCTCCTACATTATGTGTATGTGCATTTGCATTGCTTTGACCGTTCTCAGTAGATCCCACCTTCTCACATGCCACAATGTTTTCCAAAGCAATAAAAACAAAGCCAAAACCCAGACATTTGGGACATATGGTCACCCTAAGTTTGTGAGCTGTGAGCATACATTGCCAAACAACTGATAAATGGACAATGGACCTTTTGTTTCTCGTCAAAACGTCGCTAACGTAACCAGACCTTAACTCTAGTTATCTATTCCGTATGGGTGTGGTGCTATTTTAGGTTTAACACTTTGTGCTATTGGCTGGATTTAAAGGATATTTGCTAAAGAGAATTGGGATATGATGGTGGCACTCGGTAAAACAGGTCCTTATGCCAGCTGATTAGCTGTCGGAGAGCAGTTTTATTCAGGGGGGCATGACGAGAGCGACTCGCTCCATAAATCTACAACAGTTCTGATAATGACACTCAGACTGTGTGCAGTGCTATAATCCATTAGGTCCTCTCACCATTACAGCACCTTTCCCAGAGGCTGCTCCGGAGCTTAGGTGAACCCCAGACAAGCCTGAGAAAAACATAGCAACAATAAATTAAGGGTTGTGGCATGCGGGCACATGCTTAAACCCCCTAATGGATCTGTGTACCTTAGCTAGAAAAAAATAGCTAATCATCAGCAGTGGATTTGTTATAAAAAGCTAAGGGCAACTGAGGGAAGATGGCTGCAAGCTGAATCATTAGTGGAGAAAGATCACATTGGGTCTCATTTACCAACGGAGAGATATACTGTGATGATTCTGGTGCAAAGAACTGAGGCTAATTTCAGAATTCATGCATTCATTCTTGAATTTTTATGAAGCGCAGGCTAACGACACACACTAACAGATGCCTCATGCAACCAGTACATCAGCATCTTCCAGCATCATACTTTTACTGTACATATTTGAACAACAACATTAAATTGACAATAAAAATCCTTTGTAAGACTAGAAGCAACTGCTAATGTTTCTTTAACAAGCTTACTTGAACAAACACCCCAGAAAGTGGACAGTACATGAGTTATAGTGACCTATAACTCTTATTTAATTGACAAGTCATCTCTATGACAGACATTCATTGCGTAACTCTTTCATGCTATTACTATTGAAGATCAAATTGACCCTGCATGACAAATCACAGTGACAATTTCCTCAATAATCAGCCAATAACCAACTTAAACACTATGCTGGTATTTAGGATGCTATGAAATTGATCAGGCTGAAAATTGAAAATGACCGTTGACAGCATAGATGGGTTAAATTGATCAGTGTCGTATTTCTAGCTAAGGGTTCTTTGCATTTGTATGAAGAGCAGACGTTTAGAAGATTCAATAAAAAAATACAGAAAAGGAAATATTAGAAATACTTTGTCAGATCCCTTATTTTAGTTACTGTACATTCACTCAAGAGATGCATTTCTCCATAAGCTGTTATAGCATAGTGAAATAAAAGTTTCCATCAATTTAATCAGAAATAATATCTGTCTGTCACTGAAGTTGTATAAAACACTGACTGATTTATCATGAACATGATACATATGCATAAGAATCGTGCATACAAATAATGATGACACAATCTCAGAAAAGCAGCAGTTGCAATAGATTCTTCATCAAAATGACTATTTCTGTGCTAACTGCATTTGTACATAACTAAAATAGCACTTAACTTTCCTCTGGTAACACATGCTTCATATCTAGACAACTGGAATCTGGCAAACATCTTATCTTAGAGAAAATAACCAAATCGTATTAATCCAACACCATTTGCTTGAGGCAATCTCAATCATCAAGTAAAAATACCCAGTTTAGTCTATATCCACGCATCTTTTGCATTGAAAAATGATAACTGACAGAGGTTGAGGAATAGCGATGAGGAAAGAGTCAGAGAGACACACACACAGGCTAGAGGTTGTTGTTTTGTGATTGAAACTGGAAGGCCATAAAGCCTTGATAGGTCCCGTATTTACTATCGCCTTAAATCATGTACAACTACAGTAAACTTTTCTATAATAAGTTTTCATGCTTGCGCACCGCTGTGGAAAACATTGCCACTTCACCCGTTTTATGCTTATGAGCTTGAGGCTATTCACAGGAAACTAAATCATCTTTCACTGGAGGAAAATTGTACCTCAGTGGAGAGAAACAAAGCTAAAACAAGCCATTCGGAATGTATCGCATAGGGCACTGACCAGGAACCCTGATGCATGATGGGTAAAGTTTAGCAAAAACTCAATTGCTTACCGAGCACACCAAGCCGATAGTTTACGGTTATGACGATGACGTTGCCGTAACTGGCCAAGATGCTTCCGTCAAACATATTTCCTGTTCCTTCCATATACGATCCTCCATGAATGAAAACCATCACCGGTTTGGGGCTCCCGCTTTCACGAATGTCTGGAAAAAGGAGGATAGAAACGATTAAATGACAAATCACTGTAGACAGCTGGAAATGCATTCGGAGCTGAGGGCTCCCATTTTGCTCAAATTGGCCACATTGGCTTTATTTTTGAGACAAGATCAGTTTTGGAAATTAGCCAATTAATTTCCTAGGCAATATGAATGTCATGTTCCTGGTGATCGAAAAAAAATAGCGGTTACTTTTTTTGTTTACTTTTTATGATTACGTCTTTTTTTCTTAAGGTGCCTGTGAGTAATAAAAAGTTGGAATTAAAATGGGAATTTTAATTTCTGAAGTAACGCTTTAAATTAACTAAGGTTTTGAAACATGACTAAAAAACAAGGTGGGCAAACTTAAGGTAAGGGGACCTCGAGTCTTCACCTCGTCTTCTCAGATCCCATTTTTCTTTTAGCAATGAAAATGGCACACTTTTTAAATTTCCATACATTGCTTAGGCAAAGTAATCCACTTTAGGAAAATGGTCTCTGTCCGAGAGGGAGGTATTTTCAAAACACAAATGCGATGCAGATGATAACTTTCGTCTTGCTTGAGGGAGAGTGCCATTTCATCATGGTTGCAAAGCCTTCACATAAATCTCGGTTATTTTATTGGGCATGCAGGGACCTGCTTCTGGGAGGTCTAGTAACAAGCAAAAAAACAAATTAAAAAAGCAATCATCCTCTAAAACAATTTTCTTAAGGCCTCTAAACAAGACCACCTTTTGCCAAATGTGCACAAAATAGTTTATTTTTTTAATAGTTTTAAAAAAATAGTTTTTTTTTTTATCAGTCAACATAATTTCTCATTTGTTTTCTCTTTTCATGTCAGTTAACTCCTTTTCGAGGTTTTTGAGGTTCCTTTCCGTTCTGTTTCGTTTCCTCTTTCAAATTGCTCAATGCAAAACACACAATGGGTTTGTCTCTGTCAGGCAACGTAATGTCTCCTCTTGTCTTATCTCGTCTCTTCTAGTCTCATTTTGTCTCACCTGGCCCCATCCTGTCCTACCTCTTCTGTTCTTCTCTTCCAGAATGCTTAAAGTGAGATTTGCACACAATACAGCAGTTCTTCTTCATCTGTGTAAATTTTCACCTTGTCTCTTTTTTGTGTCCTCTCACTTCGTCCTGTCCCATCGCTTTTGTTCTTCTCTTTTTAAATGTTCAAAGTGAGATTCTCGCCTCACCCATTTCTGTCCCGCTCCTCTTTTTAGCCTCTTGAAAAAGGCTCAAAGTGGGATTTGCAAAAAAAGATTGTTATTATTCTTCATCAGGCAACCTAATGTATCATGTTGTCTCATCTTGCTTCGTCCCTTCATGCTCTGTCTCATCTCTTCTTCCCAAATGCTCAAAGTGAGATCCGCACAGTGTTCTTCTGATTCAAGTGACCAAATGTCTCTCTCATCTCTTTTCTTTTCTCATTCCATCTCCTCTTTTCTTGTCTCACCTCCTCTTCCCATCTCTTCACCTCTTTGTCAAACATGTAATGTCTCATCTTTTCTCTTTTGGTCTCAATTCAATCTCTTTTGGTCTGTTCTTCTTTTGCAAAATGCTAAGTGTGAGATTTCCTCGCAACATTCCATCCCTTTGGTTTTCCTCTTGCAAATTGTATTCTTCTTTATCAGACCATATCTTCTTCATCTCTTCGCTTTTCTCATCTCACCACTTCCCTTCCCATCTTTTCTTTTACCGGAAGTGTTGTGGCTTTGTGTATGAAAAAGTGCTTCATTAAGCATTGATCAATCAAAAAAAAGATCTTAAAATTCATATATAATCCAATGGCTTTTTTAAATTAAGCATTGATTAGATTTTAATATCTTACAGTCATTTTGATGAATGAACTGAATGACCTATGAGCCCCAGAAGAATGTAAACTAGCCCAGTGAGTCTATCAGTGTCCAGAAGGAGGAAATGACAGGAAGTGATTCCTCAGAGACATGAATACTCCACTGATCCCTGTCATTTTTATTCAGACTGACAGAAATACTTTTCATCAGCAGGCCAGAGTTCATGTGTGCATGCGCAAGCCAGTCTGTTTGTAGTCTTCTAAGTCTTTTATAAATGTCATATGTCAAATGGCAATGAGCAGTCCAGTGTACCGTGGCCTTTCTCCAAAATGTCACTCCTGAATGATAACATGACTGGAGATTTTCTTTCACTGATGAAATGTGACTGACTATGTTGACTTAAAAATGCTAAGCTGTGTTTTGAAAATGGTAAGGTCTGTAGAGACCTATACGTGCACCAAGATATTTTTGAAAACTTTTTTTTTTTTTGATACATTGAAAGTCAGTGGGGTCCAGTGTTGTTTTGGACCCCACTGACCTCCACTGAAAGGACAAAAACAGTTAAAACATTCCTCAGATGATCAAATTATGTGTTCTGCAGAAAACGTAAAGTCACACGGGTTTGGAGATTTTTACTTTTGTATAACCCAATTCTTCAGATTTTTGACCACATACTAACATTTTCTCTTGGGCCTTTTGCCACCGATTACATGAAAAAGTCAATAAACGTTGTACCCTTCATACTAAAGCGCCAGATTAATGAACGTGTCAAAAGTGGCTATTGATTTTGGTGATAGTTTGCTTTAGTAAATCTCCAGCAAATAGTCATATATGGAGAATCCCTTGGCATTTGGAGTTGTTATGTATGATTGATGATCCTGGTGTATGACCCGTATGCAGCTTTTATATCAAAAACAAAAATGTAAACTAATTAGAATAGATATTAATATCTGTGAGTGGGCCACTGATGTTATCAAGCCAATTACTGGATCTATTAAATAAAATCAGAGGAGCTGGTTGGCGAGAACTGTCGCTGATGCCACGGCAGCTGGTATAAGCAGTGCGCAGTAATAAGGTAGCGTTATGTCTATATAATTAATGTGCGCTATGTGTCTCCTCTCAGCCCTATCAGCTGCAGCTGTCTAAGAGCCAAACGGCCGCCCTTTTCCACTTAGCAAAAAAGCATGCGTAGATAGGCCTCAGGAATTTGAATAAACGTGTTTACTTAAATGTTTAGCTCATTTGGCTACATAAATTCACTCATGCATTGGATTAAAAAGTGTTACTGAGGCACTTTCAAGCAAAACTTGATTAAAACTGTGCTAATTTAGGTCAAGCTGTTTCTAGGTATGTCCTGTTTTAACTACTGTCTGATTCGGATTTTCAAAAAGCTAAGAGCTGATATCAAGCACACTTTGTCAGTTTACATTGACCTTGGAGTATTTTGACACACTGCGTCTACATTTCTTTCAGTATATGTTTGAATTATTTAAGTACACATGAGGAATGTACTTTGGGAGTAAATTATTGAAACTAGTGACGCCACTAACATTTTACTAACTAGCAAACCACGGCTACGTTTCATGTTAGCACTAGTAGTCAAAACAGTGTAGGTTTCTGGAAACAAGCTAGCATTATAACGACAAGTATTGTAGTAAACAAGCTAGCACTACTTTTAATTACTTTGTGTTGCACGTGAAGCTTTATAGCAGAGCAAACTGGGGTAACAAAACACATTCTTTTAAGCTCTTCTTTCATATTGTAGCATTTAAAAACAATTCACTGATTTAGGTCTTGTTAATAGCAAAACATTTAGCTAAACGATGTGGTTCATGACTGTTTTCAACTATTTCATATAGTTTTACTTTTATTTAAAGTAAATCTGTTCAATTATCTGTTCAAGTTCAAAGTTGTGACTTTTTTTTTATTTTTTATTAATAAACATATAAAAAGTAGCTTAAATGCAGTTAGCTACTTTCCGTTACGATCTAACTGTATTGAGTAATGGTTTCACAATAGCTTCCCAACACTGATGTACATACACCAAGGAAGGTTCAGGCTGACACAATGGGCCATATTGGGATTTAGAGCAGATCCTTGAAAAGAAAACGTTGTAGCTTTCCCTATGCATACCGTTGTTACAAATCAAAGGAACAGCTGATCACTGAAGACGTCTTAACAGATCTGAGAAACCATGTTAACCAGTCATTAGGAAGCTCCTGGTTTTGGCAAGACTTTGCCATTGTAGCTTGACATACACTTGATGGGCAGCTGTGAGTGTCCTGAAGGCCTCTGAAGATGCTGAAGTTTGTGGCTGATGTTGGCGATGAGTGTTTTCCCAGTAATGTAAATCGTCGGGCCTGCTTAAGAGGATTACTCCGTCGGTTTTCAAGAGAGTTCATGCAAGAGACTCTGCGGGATCCACACTGTATATTTGTGTTGCTGTAATCTTTTGATGTGCAGATCAAAGCGAGCAGGCTCTTTCCTGGTTTTAGCCTCCTCTAATTGCTTCTTATTTAATTTGATTATACAGGAGGCAGTCTTCACTGGGCTCTGTTCTGACATGAACACGAAAGGAAATGCTTTTATCACATAGTCACTCAGGGATTATTATCATTAGATTTTGTACCTCTTTTACGGTCTATAGCTCAGGCATTTAATCGATGTGTTAATTTGTTGTGCATCTCTATAGATTTTTGCACAACCACTAAACATCAGGCAATTAAAAGTCATCTCAACGGTGGGACAGTAATGACTATTGATGCACAGTCTGATGGAAATGCAGACGTGGCATTTTGGATTCCAGGAACATACAATGTTGCATAGGAAATTTTTTTGCATAGGCTTTCAATTGAATTTCGGAAGAGTATTTTTTAAACTGGGGGTTACCTCAGAATTATTATTTTTTTTTATATATAGGCATAAGGGTTGAAAAATCATGCAAAAAAAGTGTTAAGAATTAATAGCAGGATTATTAGTTTGTTTGCTTGTTTTTGGTTTGTTTAGGTGAGATGCAACATATAAAATTAAAAGGAAATGATAATAAAAAATATTCAAGCAAAAACCTATGAAGGGTTATTATTAACAGTTATGTGTATCTGGAATGACGGGAGACAGGTCACATCAAGCAAAAACGACAAAACACATCCAGCAAAAAACGAGCAAGAAAAAAAAAATCTCCACTCTCAAAAAAGAACAAGAAATGTAAGAAAAACA